ACAATTATGAAAAAGCTTCCAATTAAACATCAAATCTAAGGGACATTCAGGAAAGTATGGTCTAAAAATCAAGATGCAGTGGTGACTCTGAAATTCTTTAAGACTTCAGAAAAAGCCAAGTCAAATAATAGCACATTTAAGAAGTTTGAGGGCATTATCCCACAGTTGTATTAGGAAAAGCACAGGTCAGAGAAGGAATTATCTCAATAAAATTCATGGGTACAGTCTTTTCTATTGTGAAACACAATAGGAAATAGGATATCTAATAGACCCACAGCTCTTTTGGCATCACCAGCATGGTCTTAGGACAGAGAGGGCACAAAATGAAGAGACTCCAAAACTTCGACTGTGAGGAAGCAAGGTAACAAAAGGGTTCAAAACACTGCTAGCTTCCATGAAAAAAGGAAGAATGACTCCGAGGGCAGAAACAAGAACACAAGGGGCAGAGCAAAGAGTCCAGGAGAATAATCTCAGGGCAGGAACAGAACTGAGCTAATCAAGCAACTGCCAACACTTTCTTGGCAAGAGGCCAACTTGCCATGGTGTAGTGGCTCTTGTGCCTCCTGTCTTTCCTCTTTTGAACAGAATAGTTAGTGATAATCTTATGCTTGACCCACCAATGTATACTGGATATTTGGGGGGTCAACTAGCTTATCTCTTCAGTTCTCAGGTCTTCAGATTGAGATTAAATGGGCTCAAGGACACTCCTTTCTATCTGAAAGTGATTTAGAAGATAAAATACTAGACTTTGAGTTGATGTTATAAAGAGATAACACTTGGGGTAAAGAGACAGAGGTAAGTTCTTAATAGGCAGTATGTTCTTCATGAACAAAGCATGTAAATAATTTGCAGCTATAGAACAGGCTGTGTTACTTTTAAAACACATTCAAATTCTTGACAGTTCTCCCCTCAAAATACCCTTCTGCTTGACTGCGGGACAGATTAAAAGATTTTTTTTTTTAAAGATTTATTATATTTATACAAGAGCCGGGGTACAGGCCAGATGCACGGAAGGGTGAGAGGATTAACCAGAGACAGAGAGGAGAAGAGTATAGGCAGACTGATGAAATATATTGCTGAGGGGAGCAGCGGGCAAGACAGGAGAGGTCTGGTTGCCATCCGGGTTGCTCCGAGGCCGGCGGGGATCGAACCGGCACTGCAGAGGCTGCGGACAGCTTCACAGCACTGCGCTCAACCGCCTGCACCACGCACGGAGGCCCAACTTTTTATTTTTAATTGAAGTAAACTTCAAATATCATAAAATTAATGATTTGTTAATTTTTCTTTTTCGTGGATAAAAATTACTATTTCCCCCATTACAATCCCTTGTGTTCCCTCATCCCTTTCTCTCCCCCCTCTTAACTTCAGAGCCCCTCAGAATGTTTGTTAATGTCCACTAGTTTTTGGAAGTATTTTACATTATCAGATTGAATGTCCAACATTTTTATTGTTTTGTTGTTGCATGTGTCAATATTTCATTCCTTTTTATCTATTCATCACTTGACGAACATCGTATGGTAATTCTATGCTTGACTTTTTAAGGAATACCTGTTTTCAACAGCAGCTGTACCATTATATTTCCATAAGCAGTGTCCGAGGCTCCAATTTCTTCATATCCTCAGCAACACTCCTGGATTTTTTTTGTTTATTTACATTTTTACTGTTGTTCTTATCATAGCATACAGAGTGGGTACAAAGTATTATCTCATTGTGGTTTTGATTTACATTCCTCTAATGACTGATGATATTGGGCATCATCTCATGTGCTTGTTAGTCATTCGTATATCTTTGGAGAAGTATCTATTCAAATTCTGTACCTACTTTTCAATTAGGTGGTGGTCTTTTCTTGTTGAATTATCAAGAGTTCTTTATATATTTTGGATACTAGATCCTTATTAGATATGTAATTTGTAGATATTTTCTCTGCTATACATCATTTTTTAATCCTTGGTTTTACAGAGCTTTTAACTTTGATGATGTTCAATTTACTTCCTTTTTCTTCTGTTACTCATGCTTTGGTGTCAGAGCTAAGAATTTATTGCCAACTGCAACAGCATGAAGATTAACCCTACATTTTCCTCTAATAGCTTTACTATTTTAGCTCTTGTATTTAGGTTGGTGAGTCATCCAATTAGACCTCATATTAAAAGGCCATTATATATGTAAGGGACAGGGGTCCAATCTCATTCTTTTACATATGGCTATCCAGTTGCCCCAGCACCATCATTTGAAGAGACTGGGATATTTTCCCCCAATTAATGGTATACTGAGCTAGAAAATTGGGGGACAGCAAGTATATATGTAAAAATGTCACAATGCTTTATATTGAAAATTTAGTAGCCTTTTCCTCATTAAGCATACTCCACTGCCTTCCCACTCCCACCAGTTGCTGTAGTTTTTGTTAGATTCCAATATTTTGAAAAAGTTGACTTTCCAGATTTTGCCATCTTAACAGTTGCTTCTTAGAAGACATTGATTCTTAGAACTGGCTACTCCAACACTTCCCGTGATTAGTGAATTCTTACAACAACTAGAACATGGTGAAGTTACAGTGCACAATTTTTGAGGTTATGTTAAAAAAGCATTGTGACTTTCCTTCTTTTTCTGTCTCTTGGATACTTCATTCTGTGAGAAGCCAGTTACCCAAGAAAACTCTAAAGCAGACCTGTGCAGAATATCACATGGCAAGGAACTTAGGTCAGCTGCCTATCATGGAAAGCAAGACCATGTTAAGTCTTCACATCACTTATTAAACTAAAACCTCATGAGAGACCTTGAGCCAATCATCCAATTAAGCCATACCTGAAATACCTACTTATAAATACCCTGAGATAATAAATGTGTGTTGCTTTAAATTAAGTTTCAGGGTCCATGATTATTTATAGCTGAGATCCAAAAGATGAGAAGAATTAAGTCATTCAATGATTTCATGGAAAGAATGTTTCACACAGAGGTAACAGCAAATGCAAAGGTCCTGAGTAAGGAAAGGTCTTTGGCATGTTAAAAAAAAAAATGAAAATTAACATGCTGAACCTCAGTGATGGAAAGAATAAAGAAATCACCAAAGTAACAAAAAGTAACCAAAGTTAGCTGCAGCAGGTCTTAAAAACTAGTAAAAATTGGTAATTTCTGTTGTAGTCAATGACTTATTAGCCATCAAAAATGGAAACCAGACTATATTTGGACACAAGAAAGCAAGAGCAAAGCAAAAATAACCACCTATCCATTGACAGCTAATTAAAGACAATTCACTGGTCTGGCACCCATAAGAAACTTGCAAAAGATGAAGGAAAGGCAGATGAGTAGCACCATAGAGGGGCAAAGACTAGACTTTTGAGAATATAATCTCATCAGTAACTGAGTAACTGTGTAACTATGACAAACCAGTCATAGTTGAACTAATAATACTTGATTGAAAAGTGAACATAAAGTATTATATTAATGAAACAGAAACAGTAATTCCAAAGGGCACCTGCACACCTATGTTTATAGCAGCACTATTTACAATAGCTAAGCTATGGAAACAACCCAAATGCCCAAAAATAGATGACTGGATCAAGAAGATATGGTACATATACACAAGAGCATAGAAGTTTAAAAGTAAAAAAACCTAGTTTTATTTTGGTACTTCACCAGCTTTGTGAACTTTGATAAATTACTTCTTTACTAACCCAATTTCATTCATGAGATAGCAATATATACATGAGTGATTTCGCTCTTTTAAAAGATCAAATGAAATAATATGTGACAAAAGTTTCTTTGAAACTACAAAAAAAGACAAAAATTAAAATTTCCAAATGTTAATTTGGAGAGAAATAAAAAACTAATTGTATCATCACACAGGGAGTCCGAGAGTAGGAATCATAAAATTCTTTGAGAGCAAGAACCAAAGTCTTTATATCATCCCCTAAGACTTATTAATCTTTGTAGAGCTAAATATCATTACAAACTTATGCAAAACCACTTTTATAAGGGTGCTTTTTAAAACTCTGAAAGGTAAATTCATTGGCAAAAAAGTTCACATAATGAACATGACTTTAATGCCTTTGTCTCATCAGGCAGTCCATAGTCATTGCCAAATGAAAAACCGAAGTAGTTGCATATCAACAAAATGATTTTAAATCAATTCTCCAAAGATGTGCACTTGTCCTTGTCCTGAGCTAGCCTAAGACACAAGGTTTAACAATTGGTGTAAAGGTTAAAAGAACTGCAAAAGAAATTTCAATTGGATAACAAGTCTTTAAAATTAAAACTGAATTTGAATTTGTAAAATAATACTATCAATATATAAAAACTATAAAATGAAAAAATAAACATGGTAAAATATAGATGATGTTATTAAAGACATTTTCAACTAGTGAAAGAATAAAATAATACCTGTGTTTTCAGATTTTATAATAATCTGAGGTCATTTATGACTAATAAGAGGTACTGATCTCTTTATCTTTAACCACGAAAAAGAATACTACAATTGAAACAAGAAAAAAATTATTAGCAAAGGATATAAGCATTAGACATTATAAAACGTGACGGACATTATTTTGTTATTACAATGCACTGATTCATTAATAGAGAATAAAGTAGCTGGAATAAACTGGCTTATATGCTTGGTCTTTATATGTTCCTTCTGCTTTTTTTAGTAACCCATCTTAGGTGGTACTCTTTATGTACAGCAGATTACAATTAAAATAAAGTTTTAGAAGATATAACACAAATTTGACCAAATTCAAAACATGTATCCAACAAACACAAAGTTAATGTCAAGTAGATACTGTAGAAGTTACTATATCAACCTTACATTCCAATGATCACTTAATTCTTAAGACATCAAGAAAAAACAGCGAACTAGTAATGCAAATAAAATACATTTTGAGGTTTAATGAACAAATGATACCTTGCTTGAATGAAAAACAACATTATTAATATATTTAAAGAAACAAGCCAAAATAATAGAAAAGTAACTCAGAAAAAAAAATCAACTTTTATGGGTAATTACGAACCGAATTTTCTTCCTCTTCTTCCAGTTCTCGCTGTTGTTCTTCATGTCTTTTAGCTTTGATCTCCATAGCTTCTGTAATCAAGTCTCTTAAAATTGATACAGGTTTTGCATTCTTGATAAAAGGATGCTACAAAAGTAAAATCCAATGATATAAATTAAAAATATTCCTCTGAATTCTATCTTAAAAATATGAAAACAATACATAAAGGCTAGCTAAGATCAGGTTACAATGATTGCTCTTTCACCTAGAACTAAATGCATAGGTTAAGAAAATAGAACATTTCAGCTGCTTTAGAAATATATTTTGCTCTTACATCTATTAGTTTTTTAAAAAATTAAAGCACATGCACAAAAATGCAATCCTATAAATATAACCATATTATCATTAAAGATAAAACAGTCTGAAGAAAGTATAGATTAGGAGGTGAAAAAAAGGGCAAAAATTAATAAAGAACAAAAGGATGCTTTTATGACATATACAAATAAAATCATTCTGGTATTAATTACAGAAATGAATTGATCTTAACAAATTGACAGCCAGAATCAGTGGTCAAAAGAATGGCAACTATTTTGTTACTTCTACATATATTCTATTTTATCATGTTTTAAATAATTCAATCTTTTCCAGTGGAAGGGAAAAATGGCAATAAAAGTACTTTTTAGAAGTAAATATTATCTCATGTCTATACATACATATATAAAACAACTTTTGTTTCTTTTTCTTTTATGCCACCCTTATCAAGTTAAAGTTTCTGAGTCAGCTAAAATTCTTAAAAACAGAACAGCAGTGACTAGCGTACACCAGGGTTTTGTTTGTTTTTTTTTTTAATAAATTTTATTTTTATATTCCCCATACAATTGCAACCCCCTTATTTTGACCCCAGTCCCTCCCCTCAACCCCTAACCCCAACCCTCAACCCCCCCCAACCCCATAGAATGTCTCTGGTTCATAGTTGTTTGTTGATTTTGATTTTCACTTTCTTATAGTTATTCATTTTCCTGGTCCCTTATTTAAGTTTTCTAGATTCCTGCTATGAGTGAGATCATCCGGTATTTTTCTTTTTCTTTCTGGCTTATTTCGCTGAGCATGATCCCTTCCAGCGCCATCCATGTTGCTGCAAATTGCATGTGTTTATCTTTTTTGAATGCTGAGTAATATTCCATGGTGTATATGTACCACATCTTCTTGATCCAGTCATCTATTTTGGGGCATTTGGGTTGTTTCCAAAGCTTAGCTACTGTAAACAGTGCTGCTATAAACTTAGGGGTGCAGGTGCTCTTTGGAATTGATGTTTCTGTGTCCTTTGGGTAAATACCTAGGAGTGGAATTGCTGGATCATGTGCAAGCTCTATGTTTAGTAGGTCCAGAACTCTCCACACAGCTCTCCATAGTGGTTGGACCAGTTTGCACTCCCACCAACAGTGCAGGAGAGTTCCTTTTTCTCCACACCCTCGCCAACATTTGTTGTTGCTAGTTTTTTTAATATGTGCCATTCTCACTGGTGTGAAGTGGTATCTCGTAGTTTTGATTTGCATTTCCCTGATTGCAAGTGATGTTGAACTTTTTTTCATATGCCTGTTGGCCATTTGCATTTCCTCTTCAGAGAAGTTTCTTTTTAGCTCTTCTGCCCATTTTTTGACAGGATTATTTTCTTTGTTGTTGTTGAGTCTCATCAGCTCTTTGCAGATTTTTGTGATCAGTCCTTTATCATTAGTGTTGTGTGCAAAAATGTTCTCCCAGTCGGTGGGGTTTCTCTGTTTTGGTTATTGTCTCTTTTGCTGTGCAGAAGCTCTTTAATTTGATGTAGTCCCAGCTGTTTATCTTTGCCTTCACTATCACTGCTTTGGGTGATGTGTCTGTAAAGATGTCTTTGATGTGCATATCACGTAGTGTTTCGCCTATATTTCCTTCTATGTATTTTATGGTTTCAGGTCTTATGTCTAGTTCTTTAATCCATTTTGAGTTGATTTTTGGTACACCATGATTTTTTGATGACTTTTTTCTTTGAGGTGAGAGCATGACAAAGTAAAGGGAAAGGCTGTAAGTATAATTTGGGCTAGATAGCCTTTTTTTTTTTTTTTTTTGAGGCAACAGTACAGTTTCAAATGTAATTTTTACAATTGTTTGTCAGTATCAGGTATCAGGTAAAAACTGTTATTTTAATAAAGGTCCAACAGAACACAGAAATATTCTTAAAGACAAAAGATTTTCATGCACAAGAAGAAATCTGGAAGAGATTTAAAATGAACATACCATTTGGGAATACTATAAGAATCTTATCAAATTACAGAAATACTAGGATCAATGGCAAAGAACCAATATATTATTTTTTAAAATAGTTACCAACTAACCACCATAACATGAAGTCTTATATATAGCTGTGCTGGTGACTAGTTACCCACCAAAATAGAGTTCTGACTGGTCTACGACTGCCCAGATGTATGCTGTATTTCTCAGCTTCCCTTTCAGCTGGTTGTGACTATACTGAAGGCAATGCAACATGAGGGCTAGTGCTGGGTTCCACTTGCTGATTTGGGCCTTCAAACAATAAGTGAGCACCCTCCCATGTTTTTTTCTCTTCCTGCAAAGTGATAAGACAGAAAAAGAGAGTAACCTAAAGGATGATGGAACAAGAAAAAAGGAAGCCCAGTCTTATTCCAAAAAATTTTAAATCACTGTCAGAAAGATCACAAACAATAATAGAAGATATGAGCTTTGTCCTTAAGGAATCTATAAAAAGGAATAAAAGACAAACACACACAAAAAATTATCAAAGGACTTACAAGTTACATTCGTGATGGTTTAGCACAGCATATATAAAGAGCTATAAAAATAGAATAGACGAGGTAATCTCAGTTGCCTCATACAGAAGAAACAGATCATTTTATTAAGGAGGAAAAATATGAAGAAGGCCAAAAAGAAATACACAAAGATAGGGATGTATGCTAGGACATAGTAGGAATATCTGTCTAGCCAAAATAGAAACACTACTTAAAAAGTGGTGTTGTCTGAGTTTAGATACAGGCAATAAGGATAAATATTTAGGATGAGATGCCTGAATTTTGTCTGAGAGACACTTTAATTAAACAATAAAGCAATGTAAGGAAAAGAAAGTCTTTCATACCATAATCTTGCAGCAGAGTTTAGAAATGAAATAGATAGTAGGGAGAAAGTGGGAATTATTAAGAACCTAGATTAAAAAAAACTAGCTGCCAAATAGATAATAAACAGTAAATGTACTGAAAGAATTCATTAGATTTAGTGATTGATTACAGGGAATCAGTAGAAATATTTATCTTTTAAAAGGTATGGAAATCTCAAACTTTATTATACTTTATTTTCTCAGGGAAATTAATGAGTCAATTCTTCAAGTCATAGTTTTTCATTTATTTGGGATAGCTAAGCTTTGGAAACAACCCAAATGCCCAAAAATAGATGACTGGATCAAGAAGATGTGGTACATATATACCAGGGAATATTACTCAGCATTCAAAAAAGATAAACACATGCAATTTGCAGCAACATGGATGGCGCTGGAAGGGATCATGCTCAGCGAAATAAGCCAAAAAGAAAAAGAAAAATACCGGATGGTCTCACTCATAGCAGGAATCTAGAAAACTTAAATAAGGGACCAGGAAAATGAATATAAGAAAGTGAAAATCAAAATCAACAAAAAACTATGAACCAGAGACACTTTTTGGGGGGTGGGGGGCGGGAGGGGAAGGATTGGGGTCAGAATGGGGCGTTTGCAATTGTATGGGGGAATATAAAAATAAAATTTATTATTTAAAAAAAAAAAAAAGAAATGCCAAAGTACCTATATGGTTCATAGAGTCTATTGAAAACTTACTTTCATGCAGTTCATTGTGAAATGACCACACCATGATATGCTACCTTTAGTTTTTAGATCTTAACATTCTTAATCTCCTAATATTGGTATGTCTGATTTCATTTGTACTCATGCTCTCACTACCTAACTGTTGCAGATGTAGATTTAAGCAACAGGGAGAAACTGGCTAATAAAGTTAAAAGAGTGCTTGAAGGAAAAGCCATGTTATTTGATCATCCTTGATAGTGAGCAGAGAAGATATAACAGACACATAAACTGATTTTTAAAGAATATTTTTAAGGATTTTACTTAAGTAACATGATAAAATTAAAAAATGCAGAGGAAGACAGAGAGAACAGAATAAAAACAAAAAGCCAGAGAAAATAAGTTGGCAAAAAATAAAATATGACAATTATGATTAAAATGTTATTAGCTACAATTATGTCAATATAAGTAACTAGGTTGAATTTCCATTTATTAAATACTATTTTACTCAACTACTAAAAGACACTAAAAACTACAAGCTTTTTCTACATGAGATATACTCCAAATAAATCTAACTCATGTTTCTAGAAGAGGCATATTTCCAAGAATTTGGATTGAAAGTCAAAGATGAGCAATGAAATATTACTCAAACATAAAGAGACATCAAGAAAAATATGATCTAAACCAAAAGTAAGGGCAACAAAAGCAACATTAAACTAGCAGGACTACATCAAACTGAAAAGCTTCTGTGCAGAGAACAAGATGATCTGCAAAATGAAAAGGCATCCTACCAAACTGCAAAATATATTTGTAAATCATAGGTGTGAGAAAGTTAACAGCCAAAATACATAAGTCACTCATGCAACTCAATAGTAGCAATGACCCAAAAAAGCCACAATTTGATAGAAAAATGGGCAAAGGATCTAAACAGACATTTTTCCCAAAAAAAGACATACAGATGGCCAACAGGTACATGAAAAGGAGCCCAAGATCACTGATCATGAGAGAAATACAAATCAAAACCTCAATGAGATATCACCTCACACCTGTTGGAACAGCCTTTATTAAAAAAATAATGAGGGGCCTCCCCGGTGGCGCAGCGGTTGAGCACTGGGTTGCGAAGCTGCCCGCAGCCTCTGCAGCACCACTTCGATCCCCGCCTGCTCCCCGGCCACCGGAGGAGGGTCCCACATGGCGCGCAGACCTCTCCTGCCGCCCGCTGCTCCCCTCAGCAGTGTACCTCGGTCCTTCTGCCGGTTCTGCTCCCCGCTCTGGCTCTGGTGAATTCTCTCACCCTCCCGCGCTTCTGACTGTACCCAGTGTTTGTATAAATAAATAAATAGATAGACAGATAGACAGATAGATAGATAGATGGATAAATAAAAATTTTTAAAAAATGAGTATTGATAATTTCTCATACTGTACTCTGTTTCTCTGAGTGTATCTAAAATCTGGCAGAGAACAATTTTCTTTATTCCAAGACACATTAAAATAAAGTTTAATACATTAGTACAAAAAAAATGAATACTGTCAAGGATATGGAGAAAGCAAATCCTTATGCACTAGTGGTAGGGATGTAACTTGGTATAGCCACTATGGAAAACTGTATGGTGGTTCCTCAAAAGATTAAAAATAGAACTATTGTATCATCCAGCAATTCCACTTCTGAAGAACCTTGGAACACTGTTCTTTACAAAGAGCAAAAATAGGGTAAATACATAGATTTCTTTGATTCTCTTAAGTTGTCTCAATTTTTTAAAGAATAAAGCAAATATCATAAAACACTATTTGATATGGATCTCAATGTAGAAGAGAAAGTACTTAAGAAAATTATATATAATTGGGACAGAAAGTGAGATAAAATTTCTATTCCTCACTTGAACTGGTAAAATGAAAAACCCACATGCCTAAATCACATAGCAACCCAGGACACTTCTTCCAGCCAGCCCTTGGGGTCAACTCACATAATAACAGATGTCAGTAAACCTAACATCTCATGGGAGACCACCATGGGGTAGGAGCTAACTTTCAGGTTCTAGCAGGTATGACAATCATTTTCAGATAAGGAACTCAAAACAATGTCCTTTAATATTTCTGGGATTTCAATTTTCTTACCTTTTAAAGACTACTAAAGAGCTCAACTCAATATTTTCAATGAATCTTTTCAGTCTGATTCCTTTATACTTACACAATTATCTATCTATGTGCTATTTGTCCCACTTTTCCTATTTTTCCCCCTTTTCTTTCTTGTCTTTTTTGGAATTGAATAATTTAGATGCTCAATACAATAATAATGCCAATGGATTCTCAATTAATGTGCTCAAAATTTCTTTGAAATGCTGACAATATTTCAAAATAAATGTTTCAAAATAAATTAAATAATGATTAAAGGCAATATTTGCATATAACACAAAATTCAAAGGAAACATTCAGGAGGGGAAAAGTATGTTTCCATCATACTCCAGATTCTCAGCTACACAGTTATATTTTTTGGAGGCCAGTTTCTTGCTTAATTTTCCAGAGTATCCACTAAAAGCATGTGTATCTGTACACATGTAAGAGGGTGTATTTGTTCTTCTTCCCTCTTGACAGACTTTAGACTACTTACAATTTGTTAACAGGCATTTGTGTTGCTTCCAATGCTTTGTCATTACAATGTTTTATGAATATTTTTACACATTTACATCACACATGGCTAAGCTTTTCTACTGGGTACATATCTAGAAATGTAATTGCTGGATCAAAGAATATATAGCACTTTATTTTAGATAGACACTGTCAAATTGTCTTTTTAGAGAGGGAGCACTAAATTTTCACAACAATAAACATTTAACATCTGCTCTCCTATATCCCTCTACAAAACATTTTTAAAAATAGTACCTGGATAAAACCTGGAAACAACCCAAATGCCCAGAAATAGATGACTGGATCAGAAGATGGGGTATATATACATGATGGAATATTATTCAGCAATCAAAAAAGATAAACTCATGCCATTCACAGCAACGTGGATGGAACTAGAAGGAATTATGCTCAGTGAAATAAACCAGAAAGAAAAAGAAAAATATCGGATGGTTACACTTATAGCAGGAATATAGGGAAACCAAGTAAGACATCAGTGTAAAAAAATAGTTAACAGTACAAAACACAACAAAGCAAAAACAGACAATTATAAATCAGAGATATACTACAGGGGAGGAAGAGGGAGAGGAATCAGAGGGAGAGAGGGAGGGTCACAGGAGACTGAGGTGACGGTGCACGGGTGCATTGGTGAAGGAAACTCTATGGGGACTACACCTGAGGGGGTGGGGTCAAGCAAATATTGTTTAAAAATGAACAATGATATAAAAATAAATAAATAAAAATGAGAGATTTAAAAAAAAATAGTACCTGGAAAAATCATTTTTTATAAGAACCACTTTTTGAATCCTTTTGTCACTTAACAAGAAATTATTTTCCAAATATCAAGTTTTGCTAATGTGACACAAAACTCTGTTGGGAAAATATAAATAATTGTTAAAAGTAAAAAATTATTTCCATGTGCGTCAAATTTGAAGGCCAATTTTAAAAAACACCTGATACTTTAAGCAGGGATACTGAAACTCTTCATTTAGTCTTGTAACCAGTATTTACAACATGACCTTTTCAAAGAATTCCGAGATCATGCTTATATTTACATATATCTTAGCAGAGTAAAAAGTCAAAGGGGCAATGCTGGGTCAAGGAATAATACATCAGGAAAATGACATGAAAAACAGTAAAAGGGAGATAAGAACTCATTTTTGAAATGAGACACAATTGGATGTTTTCTCTTAAAACAACATAAGGGCAAAATAATTGATCAAAAAAAGTAGAAAGGAGGGAAAAGACATAAGACAGCTTGGAAAACAAAATTAAAAATGAGACAAAGAGAACATGCAGAAGAAGAATGGTGTATGTATGTGTGTTTGTGTGGTGTGTGTGTGTGTGTGCGTAGTGTGTGCATCAACCCATATCTCTTGGGAGGCTTACATCTTTAGATATCATTAATAAAATTCCTGGCACTTCTCGTCATCATTGTCAGAAAGGTTAAAAGGTATAAAGAAAATATCTTTCCCTTACAGGCTTAATCACTGACCTGTAGAAGTTGTGTTGCAGTAGCTCTTTGCTCAGGATTCTTCACTAGGCACTTCTTAACAAAATCTGTGAAATCATCAGACCAAAGTTCTGGCTTCCTGAATGTTGGTGGTGGATTTGTGGGAATCATAAAAATAGCCTAGTAAACATAAAATATAAAAAAAAAAAAACACAGTAAGAATCACAACAGCACACCAAATAAACAAATCTCTTTACCTATCTTTTTTATCAGACACTAAATCTAGAAAACAAATTTAAGCTGTTCTAGGATTTCCAGTAAGATTGCAATTCAGGAAGCAAGTCCATCTGCTACTAATGTAATCATTTCCCATTAAATTTCCTCTATTTAAACTGTAGCTCATTGAGCACATCATTCTTTATCTGTTATTTTAATGTCTCCAAAAAAGAGAGCATTTCTAACCCTTTTTCCAAACTAAGGAATTCTCTACTTAACAGCTATTTCCCCAAATAATGCTACTGCAAGCTAAATCTACATCCCATTTCAGTTTATCAGTACTGCTGCTCAAAATAATTAGCAGCAATCTAATTTGCTTCTGCAACACACACTATTTATGTGTGAACAAAAAACTACTGCTCTGATTTGAAATAATACTAAATGGAACAAAGATTTTTAATTAAAATTAAATATACAAGTCAGGATTCTAAATTAAAATAAAATTTTTCAGGTAATAAATCATTTTATTACTGATTTAATTTAGTATAAATAGTTTAACACTAATGATAATACATTCAGATAGTTCAAAATTCAAAAGCTTAAAACACGTCCCTCCTACCCTTTTTCACAAAGAAAATTAATCCCTAATGGTCTTAGGAAATCACTGCGTATAACTTTTCTCCTGGGCATCTAGAATAGTTGCTGATAAATACCATCACTAAAACATCATTTTCTTTGAAAATATATAGAAGATATAAAGACAATAATGAAGTTAAAACAAATGTATCAAGCATTCAATAAATGCAGCAACAAATGTGGGTTTCTCACTGATGTAGTCAGTGGTGAAAGTTTCTAAAAAACTCCTTTTCTAGAATGTGAAAGTCTGGCATTGCAGAAGAGAGACTTCTTTCTCTGTATTATCCTCATTTTTTCACCTGGCTTTGGTGATCCTTTCTCTTCAAGTGCAAAAATAATTTAATGCATATGAATTTATGATGCATAAATAAAGATTTTAATACTATAAACTACAATAATACTTACAAACTAAGCTTTTTACCATTGAAAAAACGATACAGCTATGTTTAAAACGTCTACTCAGGCTACAGAACTGAAGCACCAAGAGGGAGGGAGGGTGGAGGATATGTAGGAACAAAAAGGAAGGAAGTACAATGGTCTACAGTGGTGAGTTGGTGGTGGGTGCACTACTGTGCTAATACCTGATGGGGGTACTCCAAAAATTACCTCAGTTAAAAATTAATTAAAAAATTTAAAAATAAAACTTCCATTCAAAAAATGGAGAAAATACCAAAATTGTAGACAAAATAATGAAAATAATAAATTCTTGGGAATGCAAATTTTAATGCATTCCTTTGAAATGATAAAATTGTTCCAAAGCACTTCCATTTAGCTGTCCATAACAGTACAAAACACAACAAAGCAAAAACAGACAATTATAAACCAGAGACATACTGCAGGGGAGGAGGAGGGAGAGGGATCAGAGAGAGGGAAGGAGGAGCACAGGGGACTGTGGTGATGGTGCATGGGTGCCTTGGGGAAGGAAACTCTATGGGCACTCAATCTGAGGGGGTGGGGGGAAGTAAATACTGTCTAAAAAATTTTTTAAAATGATAAATATTAAAATTTTTAAAAATTTAAAAATCTAGTAATTTAAGATTAAGGAGTTAAACCTTAAAAACCATTAATATGCTGGAAACAATAGAAAGAATTCTTAATATACCATAAAAATATAGAATAAGAAATTAAAGATGTCCTAAGTAGTAACCACTGTCAAAATAAAAGAATGTGAAAAGCATGACAAAACAAACAAAAGTCTTTCACTTAATATGACACTTAATGTCATGCAAACTCCATAGTAAAAGGTACATGACAGATACTTTGGCTCTACCTTCTCATTAAAAAAAAAAAAAAAGGTGGACTCAAAAGTCCAGAGAAGTGGCTAAAAATCAAAGTTTCAGACTTACAGAAAAGCCTTTATTTAAGGGGATTGAGGTGATGGTGCACAGATGCATTGGTGAAGGAAACTCTACGGGGACTACACCTGAGGGGGTGGGGAGAAGCAAATATTGTTTAAAAATGAACAACGAGGGCCTCCCCGGTGGCACAGCGGTTGAGCGCTGGGTTGCGAAGCTGCCCGCTGCCTCTGCAGCGCCGGTTCGATCCCCGGCTGCTCCCCGGCCACCGGAGGAGGGTCCCACATGGCGCGCAGACCTCTCCTGCCGCCCGCTGCTCCCCTCAGCAGTGTCCTTCGGTCCTTCTGCCTGCTCTGCTCCCCGCTCTGGCTCTGGTGAATTCTCTCACCCTCCCGCGCTTCTGACTGTACCCAGTGCTTGTATAAATAAATAAAACAAATCTTTAAAAAAAAAAAATGAACAATGATGTAAAAACAATAAAAAATTAATATTAAAAAAATAAAAGGTTAGCAAAGTATTCTAGTACTTCTATTGTGTCTCAGAAACCAAGAAGATAGAGCAAAGGGGTGACTAAATCTAAAGCAACAGCTAATAAAAGGATAGAAAGATGATAAATGATGGTTCTTTTTTCAACTTGTATCTTCGAAGTTCCTCCTCCTAAAATAATGATAGGAAAGGTCTTAAAACTTATTATTACAGTCACAACTGGGACAATGGATAAAGCTGAGAATCTTTCAATCAAATAGAGTAGGAGAAAGACTATTCAGTGGAGAAAGTAGTTTTTTAAAGGAATGGTGCAGAAGAGCAGATATTGACATACAATAAAAATGAATGTGGATCATTACATTATACCACATGTAAATATTAACTCAAAATGAATCAATAACTTAACCATACTAGGTAAAATTATAAAAACTACTGAAAGAAAATGTAAGGGGAAAGCTTCACGATAATGAATTTGGCTTTATTGTCTGTGACACCAAAAATCAATGCAACAGGGCCTCCCCGGTGGCGCAGCGGTTGAGCGTTGGGTTGCGAAGCTGCCCGCAGCCTCTGCGGCGCCGGTTCGATCCCCGGCTGCTCCCCTGCCACCAGAGGAGGGTCCCACATGGCGCGCAGACCTCTCCTGCTGCCCGCTGCTCCCCTCAGCAGTGTACTTCGGTCCTTCTGCCTGCTCTGCTCCCCGCTCCGGTGAATTCTCTCACCCTCCCACGCTTCTGACTGTACCCAGTGCATGTATAAACAAAACAAACAAACAAACAAATAAATAAAAACATGCCTCTATAAATAAATAAATAAATAAATAGATAGATAAATAAATAAATAAAATCAATGCAACAAAATAAAACAGTTACCTAACTGGGACTTGTAAAAATTTATGTGCATGAAAAGACACATAAAGAGAGTGAAAAGACAATCCATGGAATGGGAGAAAATATTTGCAAATCTCCCATATTGATAAAGGGTTCATATTCAGCAACAAAAAGCTAAACAACCCAATTTAAAAATGGGCAAAGGACTCATAAATCTCTATAAACAATATACAAATGGCCAAGCAGCACAGGAAAGATACTCAACATCAGTAGTTCTAAAGGAAATACAAATCAAAACCACGGAGATACTACTCACATCCACTAGCATTATTGCTATTACAAAACAAACACACCCAAAATATATCCAATGTGGCAAGCATGTAGAGCAGTTATAATAACCCTCACATACTGCTGGTGGGAAAGTAAAATGTGGAAAACAGTAAGTGATTTCTTTAAAAATTCAACATAAAATTAGCATATGCTCCCTCAATTCTATTCTGGATATATACATATATATTCCAATGAAGTGAAAGCAGGAACTAGAACAGATATTTGTACATCATGTTCATAGCAAAACCATTCACAATAGCCAAAAGTACCCCGAGTATCCACTAACAGATGAATTGATAAACAAAATGTGATATGTGTGTGAGCACGCACATGCACACACACACAGAGGAATATTATTTAACCTTAAAAAGGTAGAAATTTTTTTAATTTTTTTTTAAGATTTATTTATTTATTTATACAAGCACTGGGTACAGTCAGAAGTGCAGGAGGGTGAGAGAATTCACCAGAGTCAGAGCAGGGAGCAGAACAGGCAGAAGGACCGAAGTACACTGCCGAGGGGAGCAGTGGGCGGCAGGAGAGGTCTGCGCACCATGTGGGACCCTCCTCCGGTGGCTGGGGAGCAGCTGGGGATTGAACCGGCGCTGCAGAGGCTGAGGGCAGCTTCACAACCCAGTGCTCAATCGTTGCGCCACCGGGGAGGCCCAAAAGGTAGAAATTTTTGACATATGCTACAATATTAATGAATCTTAAAAAATTATGGCTGAAATAAGCCAACTGGAAAAATATTTTATTATTCTTCTCACATGAGGTCCTAGAGTAGTCAAATTTGAGAAGAGAGGGTCTAATGGGTAGTTTCAGGCACTGTAGATATAGGGAGTCAGTATTTAATGGGCACAGAGTTTCAGCTGGGGAAGATTAAAGATACTATAGATCTAGCATGGTGGTGATTGTTGCACAGTAGTGTACTTAATTTCACAGAACTATATACTTAAAAATGGTTAAAATTATTACTTCTATGTTGTATATATTTTACCACAATAAAAAATACATTCATATGCAAAACATACAGTAATAATCATGGTGAGAAATATTTGTTGGGTGTCTATTATGCACAAAGTCTAATGTTAGACATATGGTATTCAAAGTTATAACAGGAAATATAGCCACTACCAATAAAAAGCATCCCATTAAAAAAATCTAGTCTGGTAATAAAAGAACTAACAATAAAAGACTTAAAGAACAGTACCATAATAGAAAAAATGCAGGTATTAAGAAGAAAGAGGTCATTTCCCTCACTCCCCATAGGAGAAATGAGCATACGGAAACACAAGACAGTAGAATAAGGCTGTTGGGAGGAACAGAAATCAAGGTGATTATCCTGTAAGGGACTAGGAATGATAAGATTAGAAAGGGAATGGAGGATATGGAA